GCTCCCTGTGAGATACATGGGAGGTGGGACAGGTGTTCTGGCTCCTCTGGGACTGGATTCCAGTAAGGAGGCAGCAGCCTCGGACTGCTGAGGGAAGGCCTGCCCACTTGCAGCCTCCTGGAAAGGTGAGGATAGAGAAGTCTGGGAGAAGAGGTGGAGGGGTGTGGAGGAGCTGTGGGACAGGGCCCATCCCCAAGGAAGGCTGCCGGGCGTAGTGCAGCCCAGGGATGGGAAGTGTCAGCCCCAACTCTACCCCTGACACATACAGCCTTGCTCATTGCGTGCATATCTGCAGGGCACCCCCGGGAGGGTCTCTCTGTGTCTGTGTCTCTGTCTGTGTCTGTCTGTGTCTGTCTGTCTCTGTCTGTCTGTGTCTCTGTCTCTGTGTCTATCTGTCTGTCTGACTGTGTGTGTGTGTGTGTGTGTGTGTGTGTAAGGCAAAGGTGTTAAAATAAGTGAGTATGTAGCTAGGCGTGGTGGTGCACACCTGTAGTCCCAGCATTTAAGAGGCGGAGGCAGAAGAGTCTGCATGTTTGAGGCCAGCCTGAGCTACATAGTGAGTTCAAACCCAGCCTGGGCTCCCTAGCAAGATCCTTTTCAAAAGACAAGCAAACAAACCAAAAAGTTAAAAACAAGTTGGTATTTTCAGTGAGTCCTAAGGAACACAAAGAAAGCAAGAGGAAGAAGGAAGCCCACTTAGGATTGTGTAATCAAGGAAGATCTCTGAGAGGAGATAAGTTTTGAGTTGGGCCAAGAAGAGCAGGAGGCAGCCACTGGCAATCGACACAGATACTCCTGGGCAGAGTGCAGCACGTGCAAAGGTCCTGGGGTCTTAAGTCATAAAAGAGGACGTTAAGTGAGGTGTGAACTAAGTCTGGGGGGGTAGGGGCCAAGTCACAGCTGGCCTGGGAACGACTGTGGATTTTATCCATGGGCGTATTTTTAGCAGCCAGGAAATGCTCACGTTTTGAGTGTGGGAGTGGTGCTGGGGATCCCTTTCCTACTCAGCCTGGACCATGTGACCCCAGAGTTTTTATCCACATGGTGCCCAGGATCTGGAGTCTAGAGGTTGTTCCTGGTGTGGCGCAGCCCCTAGTTTACAAAGAAGACACTGGAAGACCTTGGAGATCACCTTGCCCAGACCCCCAGAGAGGGGCTGGGAGTTCCCCAAGTTTACCCTGAAATCCAGCGATTGCTATGCTGAAATCCAGACCTCTGGAGCTAGGTGCGTTGGCACTTGCCTGCATTTTCAGTACCCTGGGAGGCTGAGGCAGGAGGATGGCAAATTTGAGCCTAGCATGAGCAACTTAGCAAGACACTGTCACAAAATAAAAACCAAGGCCTCTTGCAGCCTTGCCTGCCTTTGGTAGGCAGGGAAAGGAGGGGCCCCTGGCAGTGATGAACTGACCCTGCGTGGCCATGCCCGAGGTCACAAAGTAGCCGTGTAAGAAAGGCAAGGCCAGGCCAGGTACGGGCTGGAAGCACCAAGGTGGGTGGGACTTCAGAGGACCTCCAGGGACAGAGAGCCAAGGGGCCCACAGTAGTGTGGCTTCTGTGAGCTGACAGGCCTGGGGGACCAGGATGCAAGAAAGGAAAAGCTGCAGGACTCTGGAAGCCAGACCAAGGTGGGCAAGGCTAGTTAGCGCTGTGACCAAAGACCTCTGAACACAAGTTAAAGGAGAAAGGATTTAATTTTAGCTCAGGTTTCGGTCCAAGGTGGAAAAATGGCAGAAGGGCACAGTGGAGGAAATCTTGGTGGCACATGCTTGTAATCCCAACACTCTGGAAGGCTGAGGCAGGAGATGGCACCAGGAGATAGCACTCCACGTGGGTCAGAGACGCAGGAGGGCGGTGCTTCGCAGTTCATTTATTCCCTATTTGTTAAATGCCTAAGAGGTGCCGGTCGGACGTTCTAGGTATTGGCTACACAGTGGTGCCCAAAATAGCATTCACTCCTTACGTTCTCGCAGTTTAGCTCCCTCGCAGAGGGACGTGGACCAAAAATAATCAAAATAAAAGGAGCACCATGTGCAGGATGCCAGGTAGTGCTTGATGGGGAGGGAGGGGGCAATAGGCCACGCCTCCCTGTAAAGGTGATTTGTTTTGTTTGTTTGTTTTTTGATTTTTGTTTTCCTTTTCTGATCTTTTTGAGATAGGGTTTCACTATGCAGTTCAGACTGGACTTGAACTCACTTTGTAGCCCAGGCTGGCCTCAAATTCAGGGTGATCCCCCTGCCTCAGCCTCCTGGGTGCTGGGATTACTGGTGTGTGCCACAATGCCCAACCTGAAGGTGACTTTCAAGTCATCCCTAGAGAAGAGGAGAAGATGGGCTGTGTGGCTGTCAAGAGTGGAGCTTGCTCATGCCAAGGCTGCATGGTGGGAGCAAGGAGGCGGCTCCTGGGCAACTTAGCAAGATCCCGTCTCAAAGTAAAGAAGGACAGGGTGTAGCTCAGTTGAACCAGGGATCGGCCGGCTGCTTCTGGCAGGTGGGAGGCTGGCTAGAGAGTTGTCACTTCAGGCGACACGCTGGGGCTTCCAAATTGGGAGTGGCTTCTGATTCTGGGAACAAGGCCCTGGCTGCTGTGGGATTTCTTGTGCTTTGGCACATGCTCATCTCCTTGGTTGGCCTTGCATGCGTCCGCTTCTCTTCAGAGCTGGGCTGCAAAGCTCTTTAGAAAACACAAAGCTTGGACTTATGGGGAATTGGAAGGGAGAGGATTGGGCCCCACAGTGTGGCTTGTCAGAAGATGCGGCAGGGGAACACCCCTGCCATGGAGAGAGTGGTGGGGACAGTGAGGACAGACTGCGGAGGCCCGGGAGCCATGGGGGAACCAGAGGATCTCTGTCTCTCTCTGTCCTTCTCTGTCTGTGTCTCCCTCCCTCTCCATCTCTCTCTGTCTCTGTCTCTCTGTCTCTCTCCTTCTCTCTCTCTCTGTTTTTTGTATTTAGTCAGGTCTCACTATGTACTTCTGGCTGGCCCAGATTGGCCTGGAGTTCACACTGATCCTGCTACCTCAGTTTCCCAAGTCCTGGGATTATAGGCGTACACCACCACACCCAGCATAACCAGAGGCTCTTAAAACTTTGGAATCCTTCATTTGGGAGGCTGAGGCTAGCAGATCAAAAGTGCTTGGTCAACCTGAGCAGTTTATTTAGAAGACTATCTCAAAAAGTAGGTAGGGCATGAGGAGGAGAAAGGGGAGGCATTGGTCCCCAAAGCTGGAGGTAGACTAGTTTAAGAGGGGCAGCAGCCTTGTTGCAGTCCCAGCTTCAGGGTCAAGAGTTGGTGTGTGCCCTTTGGCAAGAGCTGGGGACGCTTGGGGTTCCCTTGGTGACTGCAGAAAGAATGTACCTTCCATGTGTTGTCCTTGGAGACAAGACCAGGGGTGCGGGGTGTCTGCTAGGTGAAGAAGAGAAAGTATGACTGCAAAGTAGGGTCCAGCTTGGAAAGTTGGGGTGCTGTGGACTACAGGGCAGAGGGGTGCATTCAGCTGTGCTCAGCTGTGCCAGGGCCCCACTGCCTGCACTTTGGAACTCTGCCTGTGGCCACAGTCAGCACATCTCCCAGGGCTTTGAGAGATGTCAGGAATCTGACCTGGAAGATGAAATCTGCCCATTGGGAATGGACTGACAAAACAAAAACAAGAAGAATCACCACAGGCCGAGCCAAGTCCCTCTCTGGTTGGCGACAACACCCTGCCCTGGCAAGGTGACACCTAGCCTGAGTCCCCATTCGCCTGCCACAGGTGTTCTCCTGGTCCCCATGCAATCCTGTGGCTTCTCTGGGCCACAGACTGCCAGCCTGTGAACAAACTGCCTGAAAGGCTCCTACCAGTTGGGACAGTGAGTGACTAAGTCCCTCAGGCTTGAGGGAAGATGCAGTTATTATGGCAGTGACTCTTCCCCAAACTCGCTTCCGGAAGCAGTGTGCTCAACCATTTTGGGTGTCCACAGTCACAACTGTGTGTGACAATGCAGATGCGTCATAACCTGGGAGCTTTGCATGACACAGTGTAAATACCATCATTTTAATAACCTTGCCTTTTGAACCTGGAGGAAGCCTTCATGAATTCTTGAGGGGGTCAGAAGGGCAGGCCTGGTCTTTCTTTCCCAGTCCACAGCCACAAGGTGGCCCAGCTCTGGCTCCTAACTCGGTGCTGGTCCCTTGGTGGAATGTGGCTCTTCCCCCAAGGGGTGACAATTCCATATGAGGCTCTGCCCACCCCAACTGAACTGCAGAGTGGTTGGGATAGAGAACAGGCCTTTGCTCCCATATTTCTGAGATCAGAGTAAAACTGCCCACCCCTGGGTCTCTTTTGGTCAGGGCCCCTCCATCCCCCACCAACACCACCACTGTCCCCTGCAGCGCTCAGCGCCTGGGGCTCCTGAGCCCCAACGACAGGCCTTCCTTCTCTGAGGTCCACTGATCTTGCCCGAGATAGAGGAGGCTTTGTAGATGGAAAAACTCCGGCTTCTGCATGTCCTCCTCCTTCGCTTGCCACCCCTCTCCCCGCCCCACTTTCTCTCCACCTGCGTCCTGCCAGGTCTTATCTTAGGGTGCCAGCACCTGCGCGCGCTCCCCTTCCCACACACGACCCTGCGCTCCTGCACAGTGCTGCCCGCGTGGCCCAGAGTGCTGCTTTTCCTGGCTGCGGTCCCCCAACGTCCTCCCCAAGGCCGGAGCACACGGGCCCTTTAAATCCTCCGGGGCGGCGGCGGCGGGCCGGGGATGACATCAGCGGGCGGGCCCGGGGCTCAATGGGAGCCGAGGGCGCGCGCAGGGCGGGCGCGCGCAGGCCG